CCTGTAATAAACCATAATGGGAAAGAATATGAAAAAATGTATTTATATGTGTAACTTAATCTTTGCGGTACAGAAGACTTTAGCACAGCATTGTAAATCAACTGCATGTGTGCACGTGTGTGTGTGTGTGTGTGTGCGCGCGCGCGCTCAGGCGTGTCGACTCTCTGCAACCCCATGGACTGTAGACCTCCAGGCTCCTCTGTCCATGGGATTTCTTGGGCAGGAATCCTGGAGTGGGTTGTCATTTCCTCCAGAGCAGCAGGTTCCTCCTGGAAGGTGACCAGGATTGGGCCCCTTCCCGTCTGCCCCGCAGGTGGGTCTCTGCTCAGAGCAGAGGAAGGGGGCAGCAGATAAAAGGGGACGTGAAGAGAGCAGGAGAGGTTGGAGTTGGTGCCGAGAGGGTGGCGAGCACCCAAGCCCTAGATGTAAGGACAGCGACGTGTGGGTTAGTCCCAGTGAGGGGAGAGACTCCGGTTGGCTCCATGCTTTTCTCTGCTGGTTCCAGGGGTCTGGGTGTGTTGGTAGGGGGAGGGGATGGCTGGAAGAGATGCACTTTTAACGTGAAAGCAAAAGAATCTGACACAATCATGTGCAGATGCAAAAATACAGGTTTATTTTACAGAAACAGATGGGGAGGGTATGGCTGAGAGCTAACATCTCTGTACCCAAGCTCCAGTCTAATACAGGAATATAGGTCATGTGTTCGGTTGCTGAGTTCTGTAAATTTGTCCTCATAGCTGATATGTGGTTGGACCTTTTGTTAAAGTTACATAGAATTTGTGGTGCATAGTCGACTTGAATATTTACCAGTGTGTGTGTGTGCATTCAGTTGCTCAGTTGTGTCCAATTCTTTGCAACCCCATGGACTGTAGCCCTCCAGGCTCCTCTGCCCATGGAATTTTCCAGGCAAGAATACTGGAGTGAATTGCCATTTCCTACTCTAAGGGATTTACCAGTTTATCAGTGAGTAAATGGGCATTTATGAAGTATGTACTAAATAATGGGCTTCCCTGGTGGCTCAGTGGTTAAGAATCTGCCCGCAATGCAGGAGATGCAGGTTCAGTCCCTGGGTCAGGAAGATCCCCCGCAGAAGGAAATGGCAACCCACTGCAGTATTCTTGCCTGGAGGATTCCACGGACAGAGGAGCCTGGGGGGCTATAGTCCACGGGGTCACAGAGAGTCAGACATGACTGAGCGAGTAACACTTCCACTTTCAAGTGCTGTATGGCCTGCTGTCAGTATACACAGTATCGTATCCTGTTGAATCATGTGATCTGTGGTCACGTGTGATCAGCCCAGACACATGATCATGCATCAGGAAGCTGAACCTGGGCGCTAGACTTCTGATCGCTAGCCTGAGGTTCTTCCTATAACTTTGTTGCCTCCAGGCTGTGGACTCTTGTCTGTCCTCTCTCGAGAGGGAGAAATGGTCTCCTGAGCACAGGGGAGCAGAGGTAATGAATCTGGACGTGTGTGTGTGGGTGGGTGCATTGGCCTGGTGCTCACCCCACCTTCTGAGACATATTATCTACTGGAGATATGATTTCCAGGCAGCATTTATGGAAATTTTTACAGGAATTTACAGTTGTTAGATCAGAGAGAAGCTCATCAGCTATTGTGAGTATCCTAGACATATCCTAGGGTATCATAATCAAACCAACTAATTTTCAGTAATAAGTAAGGCTACTTCTTTCTGATCTCCTACCCTGTGGTCTTTGCTTCAAAAATTCTAAATAAACCCAGGACAGGTGAGCTCATTAGACCTTTAAACCTGCTAAAGTTCTTTTCCTTAGTGCCATGCATCCATCTATAGTCCATCCATCTTGTTTGTCTATTCAAATGCGTGTATTGAGTGCTGAAGCTGTGTTAGATACAGAAGTTAGATACAGTCATGTGTTAGATTCAGAAGTCATGGTTTTTCAATTCAGTATCAATATCACAGTATGTCAGGGTTGGGGTAATTCTCTAACTTTTCATTACATACTATAATAATTTTTGTAACCAACCAGCCATAAGCTACTAAAATTCTTCAGAATAGTTTTAGCTTTTTATTTTGAAGTAATTTTAGATGAACAAAAGTTGCAAAAATAGTACAAAGAGTTCTCTTCTACGCCTCACTCCACTTCTCCTGCTGTTAATGTATCGGCGTTTCATACCCACAGCGTTATTATCAGGAACAGAAGATTAATACCGGTACAATGTTATTCACTCAGTGGCTGACCTCATTTGCACTTGACCAGCTTTTCTATCACTGCCTTTTCTCTGTATCAGAATCCCACATTCTTGCAGGTAGTAATTCCCCTCAGTCCCCTCCAGGCTGTGACATGTCCTCCGTCTTCCCTTCTCTTTTGTGGAAGGAAAGGTCACTTTTGAAGATCACTGGTCAGCTGTTTGGCTGAGCGCCTCCATCTGGGTTTGTCTGAAGTATTTTCATGACTGGAGAGAGGCGATGCATTCCTAGCAAAGATGCTGTTACCGACCCACCCCAGTTGGTTCCCAGCAGCGGTCCTCCTGCCGTGTGTGGAGCCAATAGAACGAGAAGGGGCTGAGCTCAGCAGCAGNGACTTGTTTTACTTCTGGTGATGCTGACCTTGATCTCTTGGTTAAGTTGCTGTCTGCCAGGTTTCTCCTTGTAAAGTTGCTATCTTCTCCTTTGGGGTGATAAGTATCTTGCAGGAGATACTTTGAGACTATGCAAATCATTTCTCTTCAGACTTTCCCTGCTAATTTTAGCATCCATCATGGATCTTGTCTGCAGCAGTCATCACTCTGCTGTTCCCCCAAGGGTGATGCTCTTTCCTTCTTCTGCATTTATTGATTGGAATTCTGTTATTAAGAAGAGCTGCTCCCCCCCCCCCCCAGTTATGTATTTGATTCTTTATATTAGTAAGGATCATGAATATTTATTCTATGGGTTAAGTCAATATTATTGTTCATGATTTTGTTGCTCAGATTGTTCCAGCTTTGGCCATGCAAGCTTTAGCTTCTGCCTTCTATTAACAAGCTCTATCTTTTTTGAGACTTTCCTGACTTTCTGGTCTATAAGATGTTCCAGATTCATCATGCATTTTTGCTGTTCTAGCCTGCTTATGGTTTTTTCTCCTGGGAGCCCTATTCTTTTTTAATTGAAAGATAGTGTTCAGAGACCAGGATGAGGGCACTGGGTGGGCTCATCTTCTCCTGGGTGTCACTGAGTCTAGGCTTCTCCATGAACAGAGCAAGGGCATGTAGCTATGTGTACTAACCAGTAGATACACACATATCTGGATTTTGGATCTATCTGTATATGTGTGAGAGTATGTGTGTGTGTATGTAGGTGAGAAATATCAGTGTAGTTTCAGTTTATATTTCTCTAATTTTGAATGCGTTTGAGTCCTTTTTAATATATTTTTCTGTATTTTTGTGAATTATCTCTTCATGTCTTTTTCTCTTGTTTCTTTTTGTTTGTTCTTTTATAACCTTGATAGTTTAGAGTTCTTTATATAGTAGTGATATTAGCCATTCATTTGTTATGAATATTTTCTCCCAGTTTGCCAGTATCTTTTGTTTGTGGTTTTTGTCATGCAAAAAATGTACTGTTATGTAAATTTACCTCACTTTTATCACTTCTGGGTTTTGAGTCAGCCTTAGAAAGCCTTTCCCTACAGCATGTTAGAGAGGAAAACACTTATGTTTATGAAAATACTTTGAAATGTTAAAAGCGTACAGAGGTAGAGTTGGTTAAAAACCATCTGGAAGCTGGAAAGTTAAGGCCCTTCTACCTGCCTGGGTGTCCGCCTCCTGGCTGACCGCTGTTGTCCTTGTCACTCTTATTAGCTCCTCATCATCCACCTTCAGGCTTCCCTGGTTTCTCCACAATGCCTGAAACCCCCGGGGGCTTTACAGACCATCCTGTCTCCCTTAACACATTTTAGTCTGCAGTGTACTGTTTCATCCTTATAGTACTGTTAAGCATTTATTAATACCTTAGAATTTTCTACTGATCGAAGCTCTGAGTCAGCACATTCTTACCCATTTCACTCGCCTCCCTTCCCTTCCTGCTTCGTCTTGGTTCAGGCAGCTCCTAAATTCAGCATCTGTCTTTTCCTGAGACCACTCAACCCTGGTCTCTCTAGACGGATGGGCACCTTCACAGCTGTGTCTTCTGCACAAGAAACATTATATTTGAGTGAGAGGTGCTCCTCCGTAGAGCCTGGCCTGTTCGGCAGACATGTCGGAAAGAAACTCGGACTTCGGTCTTTCCTACATGGGTACACAGTGGCAGCTATAAAATATACTGAAATAGTTAATATTTACAAAAGTGTTAGGTTTTTTCCTTTTATTACTGTGACTTATTCACTAGGACCTTTATTTAAATACATAGACAAGATTTTTTTTTAAGTGTGGCATTTTGCATATCAATAAATGAAGAATGAAAAATGTGAGGCTTAAAAGAAAAAAAAAAAATCCTCCTCCTGGGCTTTCCCCCTTCTCTCCTCAGGTCTTGGTCCCTCTCTTCCTCACTCCCTCCTTCACCACTTCCTTCTTCCCCCACCCCACCCTTCTTCTGTATCAGCACAAACTAAAGGGTGGACTCTGTCCTGAGGCTGCTGTTTGGGAAGGTCAGAATGACCCAGCATTGTGCTCAGCGGGAAACCTGTCTGTCAGGAAAGCCAAAGATGGAGATGGAAGTTGTGGGGATTCATCCCTGCAGAGCTGCACGTTCCCATTTTTTACTATTAGGGGTATTTTAGAAATTGGTCTACACACCTCTCTGCATGTTCTCTCTTGATGAATATTTACTATGGAAGTTAAGCAATGACCAGCCTATTTCAGTTTCATGTAAATTATATATATATATATATATATATCAGAAGAAATCTAGTGGAGGCTGAATGAGATGTTTTAATTGAATAACACAAGCTCCCGAAAATGATTCAGTGGAAGAAAAACGAGTGAGCTACAGGTACATCATCTTGACTTCTTATTTCCCACCTTTTTCTTTGCTTTTTTCTTTCAGGGACCCTCAGAGCCTGGATCCACCGGAAGTCAGCAACGCAAAACTTCAGTATGCAGGATGGGGCCCCAAGGGTCAGCAGCTGGTAAGCACATTGCTTTCAGTGACCAAGTTTCCGCGTTGATGAAGTTTATGTTTTACAGACTGAATGTATCTCCCTAGACTCAGAATCTGTGTTTGTGTGAATTACGTTTTGGAAAAGTACCCCAGGACATCTGCATGTGTAAATGGCCGGCCGTCTCTTTTGCTAGAGAACTCTGTTGAAGTTGGAAGAGCATATGCCCTGGTTCTGGTACCTGCTATCCTTAAAGCAGTCCCTGACTGGGCCGTGTGTGTTGACTGTAGACTTAACCGTGAATCTGAGATGGACCTCATCAGAGGACAGCAGATGGAAATGGTCAGAATAGTGGAGTCATGAAATGCTCTTTGGTTCTGCTCCGGTTCTTGTGGAACTCCGGTTCTTTCCTCGGGAGGGTTTCATGAGAAAAGTAGATTCGCAGCTGCTGTGGACCTGGGCTCCCAGCTCACAGCGTCTGCAGAATGCCCAGAACTGGTGGGGCCATCTCTGCTTTATGCCAGAAAGCTCCATGGATTCCCACTTGAATTGGCAAAACTAAGACGTCTTGAGAAACCCAATGTGTAGCAAAAAGGGGTCTGAACAAGTGGTTAAAACCACTCGGGTTCATCCCTAGCATTACTTCTGTCTAAAACCGGGTGATACACGTCGGTCCCATTAACAAGGTTGCATCACCCTTTCCTGAAAGCGCTTGTAGCTTGAAGATCAGGTGGCATGGTGGCTGACCATTTTCTTCTACATCTTTGAGCCGATTAATAAAGCTGCATTTTTTAAAACTCTTCCTAAAATAGCACAGAAAATGATCATTTAAAAAACCTTGGGGTGAGATTCTGTTGAACAGGCTGCCTACTGTCTTAGGAATTAAAATGATCTTCCTTTCCCCAGTAGTACAATTATTTTTTCTCGGTTGTGTGTTAATTCCATTGCCTCGAATTGATTTGAAGACGCAGGAGGGTGTAGGCCACCGGCTGTGTTACCTGTTACCCGAGTGTCCCCTGTGGTGCACACTTAGTGAGCGGATGTTTCAAAAGGCACATTTAATGGATCTAAACCAGTGACAAGAGGGCAGGAGGGTGCCACGAGCTGACTCGCAGAATGACACCCGTCCATCCATCAGTCACAGCCAGGAGATAACAGTCGTCTTTGCTCAAAGCCGCTAACGCTTGTGCAAGGGAAAAAATCATAATTCGATAGGAGACTGTAGAAGACTGAAGTGCTTAAGACTCAGGCCAGGTTGCACCATGGTCAGGGCTGGGTTAGGTGATTATCGAAGATATTACCTTCATCTCCTAAAGAATAACCAGCAGCAGAACTAGGGTCAGCTTCTTTGAGAAAGCTCCCCCAGCCCCTCTGCTCACAGGGCCAGGCCCCCTCTCTAGGCACCCCAGTGTGACCACACAAACTCCTTTCACACACGAGTTCCTGCCCACACATCTCTCCCCACTGGAGTGGTCCTTGGAGTAAGCCCCAAGCACTTTCCATCTGTGAATTCTGAGCATCTAGCTCCATGCCTGGCACTTAGGAAATAACTGTTGAGGTCAAAAGTGAATGCATGAATGGACAGGTGAATAATCAGCTGATATTCTTGTGGTTCTCAACCACTTAAATATAAAATAATTAGATGGAGGCAAATAGCTAGCATCTGTGTGTGAAAGAAAATATCTTTGTGTATATTTAGGATGTGACTGACAGTGAAGGAAGTTCAGCTTCCTTTCTGCTTCGGGGAAATGAAGGTTCAGTCAAGTACGATTGCTGATACTTGGTCTTAGTACCAGGCGTACTCATGTGCTCCTGGGATCTGAGACTTTAAACTTTTTTAATTTTGCTGTTTTCCTTGTACTGAGTCTAGAAGGCAATACCTCTCAGCACTGAGAAAACATCCTGTATGTTGGAGCAGGAGTCAGCAGCCTTTCCCGGAAGGCAGCAGCTGGTGAATGTTTGGGGGACCGCATGCCCTCTTGGCTCTGCTCACCTGGGAAGGCCCGCCCCCCGGGGCCAGGTGCTCCCGGTAGGTGCTCCCGGCAGGCGCTCTTGGCAGAGACAGTTCGAAACCCACAAGCAGGCCTTGCAAACACTCACAGATCTCCCATTGCTGTTTTATTTTTAAAAGTAAATATTGCTCCCCAGAGGAAATCGACTGTAATTATAATGAGTCAGAGTGAAATGAGTACTTGTCCTCGGGGAGCAGAGAAACACAGCTGCAGTTAAAGTTCACCAAGGCCTTTCCGGGCATCGCCTCCTCCCCGTGTGGCCAGATCCCCACGATGCCTCTGGGCTGCGGACCCCTGAACCACAGGAAGGTGGCCCAGGCCAGGCCACCAGGAGGGGCTCAGAGGGAGGCATTTTCTCCCGCGCCGCCACGGGGCCTCCGATCACCTTTTAGGGTAAATTTCACTTGACCTTCAGATCGCATCATAGGTGGTGAACACGGCCGGACTGGGCCCTGCGCTGTGAGGGGACAGAACCTTAACCTCGGAGAGGCGTCCGTTCTGCCGAAAGTCGCTGCTGAAGCGGTGCCAGTCTGTGGTCTTTGTTCTTCCTGGGGGATAGCCGGGCGGTTCCCAGAACTCGGCATTATCTACGGAAAGCCTCGAGATGGGAAAATGGATTTGGCTGGATTAAGCGAGATTAACTGAGAAAAGACGCTCAGCATTGAACAGCTGTCTCCCAGCTTTCTCTTCCTCCCATTGTTCTTCTTTTTAAACATTTGTTTAGGTTTGACAGAAAAACAACAAGATTCTGTAAAGCAATTATCCTTCAATTAAAAAATGAATACATTTGTTAAATATATATTTATTCCCTTAGTTATCTGGCTGTGTCGAGACGCTGCTGCAGCACGAAGGATCCTTTCTCGCAGCTCACGATTCTCTAGTTGTGGCGGAAGCCCCGTGTGCGTGGCGTGCAAGCTTCGTTGCTCCATGGCACGTGGGATCTTGGTTCCCTGACTAGGGATCGAACCTGAGTCCCCTGCATTGCAAGGCAGATTCTTAACCACTGGACCACCAGGGAAGTCCCTCCTCCCTCTTTTTCAGTCAGTATATGTAGTGATTTACCCTGAAACATAAACCACATCAAAATTTCTCTCCAAACTGTATCTTTCTCCATTTATCCTCTAGCAGATGATTGACTGCCTAATGGAGAATTTCCGTTTTCTTTGATCATTTCGTGATGTCCTGCCCACCCCTCCCTGCATGTTCATCTGTTTATGTGAGGTTTTGTCTCTGCTGATCTAGAATGTGATTAAATTATCCTTTCATTTCCTCGTGTGTCATCTCTGCTAGAAACATTTAACAAAAGCACAGGGAAGCCAAGGGCCCTGCAGTGGCCTGCTGTGTGCTTACAGCTGACGGCACGCTCGGGGTCCAGGCCTCGAGGGCCCCGCGGCGGCCTGCTTTGCACTTACGACTAATGGCACGCTCGGGGTCCAGGCCTCGAGGGCCCCACGGCGGCCTGCTTTGCACTTAGAGCTGACGGCACGCTCAGGGTCCAGGCCTCGAGGGCCCCGCAGTGGCCTGCTTTGCGCTCACAGCTGACGGCACGCTCGGGGTCCAGGCCTCGAGGGCCCCGCGGCGGCCTGCTTTGCACTTAGAGCTGACGGCACGCTCGGGGTCCAGGCCTCGAGGGCCCCGCAGTGGGCTCGCTTGAGAGCGTAGGGAACTTGGTGGGTTTGCTGTGTAGCAGTGTTTTCTTTCAGAACCAAGTGACGTGGAAACTTCTGTAACCGACTGCAGGGCAGCAGACACATCAGTGATTCAAGGCCGGGGTCTGCGCGGGCCCGCTCTGTGGGTCAGAGACCAAGAGCTGGGTTCCTCCTTGCCTGGCCTGCTCCCGCGATGGGGACAGGTGCACATCTTTGAAAGGGGTGCTGAGTCTGTCTTCAGAATTGTGCAGTCAAGGGCAGGCGGAGGGGTGCTGAGGGGACCTGGGGGCGGTGGGGCTAGCGCTGTCCTTGGGGAGCAGCTAGTGGGGATGTGATACCCCAGCGGCAGGAAACTAAGGAATGCTTACGGCTCCGCGTCCCGCTCAGCAGAGGATGTCGACTTACCCATCACCTCCCAGGGCGTGAGGCTGTGGCCCTCATGACAGTGAGCTCCTGCCCTGCGTCTCCCTGGAGACCAGAGAACAAAGGGAAGCGTCTTTACCAATGAGGGGCTGTGCCCTGATGTCCGGATGGCACCGCTGGTTAGACCCTGGGGTACTTTTCCGAGGAAAGTCACGGGTAGAATAACTTACCCAGGGGGGTGAAGGAGTCCTTTTGGAAAGTTGCTTTTTTTCATGAGTGGTTGAGCTGTCAGCTCTCCTGACAGGGTTTCAGGGCGGGGCAGCCTGGACTGCCAGCCGTCCACCCCCCTCGGACGGGCCCATCCACCACCCGAACGTGAGGCACGCTGCAGGACTGTGCTTCTGTGGGCGCTCAGTCTGGACGTTCACTTCCTGGCTCCTCTCCGTCTCTGTAAACCGCCACTGAACGCTCCCTGTGTCCTGGACCATCTGCCGCTCCCGGAAGTGCCGAGGGGGGCGTGTCCTCCCCGTGATGACTTCCGCCTCTGATGGCAGAGACCCTGCATCTCTGCAATCACCAGCTGCTTCGTGTTTCGTGGTCACCCTCAGAAATAAGTGTTCCCCACCACGTTTTCATCAACTGCGGGGCTTCCCTGATGGTTCAGACGGTAAAGAATCTGCCTGCAATCCTGGAGACCCAAGGTTCGATCCCTGGGTCGGGAACATCCCCTGGAGAAGGGAATGGCAACCCACTCTAGTATCTTTGCCTGAAGAATCCCGTGAAGGAACCTGGCGGATTATGGTCCATGGGGTCGCAGAGTCGGACACAACTGAATGACTCACACTTTTACTAGCTTGTTTTGGTGCTTCCTAGTGGCTCAGAGGTAAAGAATCTGCGTGCAATGCAGGAGATGCAGGAGACATGGGTTTGATTTCTGGGTTGGGAAGATCCCCTAGAGGAGGGTATGGCAACCCTCGCCAGTATTCTTGCCTGGAGAATCCCATGG